TAGGCACCATAAACGCAACTGCAAAAAAATATAACTTGCTAAATGAAGATTTTGAACTAATTGATAGCGCTTTAACATTAGAGACTATACTTTATATCATTCACACAACGATTCATTTAACAAAAATTAAATCATATTTTCGTTTTATTGTATTTTGAAATGACAAATAGGATGACCTTTGATATTAACAATTTCTCAATTTACTACTTCAAACGATTTTGGTCACCATCATCAATTGAGTGAGCTTTTGAGTAATTCATTTTCTGGTGTCACTTGGGTCATTTTTACTCTATCATATTTTACCCTTCATTTCAAATTATGTTAGTCTGAGGCTTGTGTGTTGCTGTTTTGGCAATGTTGTCGACTTGACAATTACTTCTGAATTTGATCTTAAAATCTTTTGACAAGGTTTGCAGCTCAACGCATCTTATCGCACGATGCATTGAGTTAAGACGATTCCGTTTTATTACAGAATATGCTCTTCATCTTCGTAATTGATTGGGCCCTCCAACAGTTGATTTGAGCGCCACTACTGTGTCGTATAAAGGCAGTGGCGTAGCTATGTCATTTTTAAGTGTACGCCCGAACCTCATCGAGGGGTTTGAGGTCCCTAGCTTAAGCTGATCCAGGGCAGAAGACCTCCTGGAAGTGGGCGAAACCCCCCCGGAGGTTCACATGTTATTGAGAAAGAGATACCAATATCTTTCATTAAAACTCACCAATAGCAAAATACTTGGTCGGTTAGGAACAAAACATTACGATACAAGAGATGATTTCAGCTTCCAGTTGTGAACTTTTCTTTTCTATGTAGCAAGATTCCAGCAGCACCTGCATATAGAGTATATACCCTCCCAGTTGATAAGATATTTCAGAGCTTGCATTTTCTATCATCATTTTTTTAATAGACGGTTGCTGCTTGCAAGGAATTAAGCTACTGAACCAACAGTTCCAAGTGGTGAAGTTGAAATCGTCCCTTCGAAAATTTTACGGTCGACATCACGAGTAGGTTGAACGTTATGGTATATCTGTTTCACAGATTGTTAATGACGACGGATATGTTTCAATTGTTGAAATTAACACAATCCCGTCTTCTTTTCCTCGAATGTGACCTACCGAATTAGACTTATCACTGGGTTTGTACTTACATCAGTAACACGAAGGGTGCCACACGTGGAGCAAAATTTGCTTACCCTTCCAGAGGACCTGAGATCACCCCCAGTTTTTGGTGGGGTCCGTGTTGCTCAGTCTTTAGATTCTATGTCATGTTTTGTATACTGTTGTTTGCCTTTTCGTAGTTTTTTGTATTTTTGCCATGGAATTGTCAGTTTGTTTTCAACTGATGAGTTTGAATATCCCTTTGGTATCTTTCGCCTCTCTTTTAGAGTCTATTTTTTTTTAAAGATATGTTTAAATTTATTCATTGTGTTGATTTGGAATCTAATGGTCATTTATTTAAGAGAAAAATGTCCAAACCAGTTGCTTAAAAATATGTTTAAAACAGGAGATGTGGGGTAAACAATCAATAGACAAAAATTCTAAACTTTATAGAGATAGTAAAAAAGCAAGTCTCCATTTCCATGTTGTCGTTCTATTATTTTTTGTTTTTTTACTTTATCTTATTCACTCACCTTTTTTACACTCAAGTTTCGTTAATGGACACATGTCCTAATTAATTTTCATAGATGGTCAGGTGTAACATAAAAATAAATATTGATCGAACTGTAGCATAAAAATGCAAGCCACATCGTATCTTAGCAGATAATGAATTTGCTTTAAACAATAGTAAACTGAGTAGAATTCACAGTAGATTCAGGCTTTTACAGAAAATGAACAAATATATAATATAAAATATGAAAACAACATGTTATTAATTTCATGCGTCCGAAGCGCTTTTCTGGATTTACTTTCATCAGGAACGCCGAAAGTCGAATATTTGAAAGCCTAGGATGTATAAGAACATTTGCAGAGCTATATGACCAAAGAGTACCTAAAAACAACCAAGAATATATATGGTTTAGGGGTGGGGATCTCAACCGTTTACAAGATAAAAGCACATTCTCAAATTGAAAGGGGGTGGGATTAAGAATATATATGGTTTAGGGAGACTTAATTATCTACAAAATGTCTAATAATGAACAGTAAATTTCAAATTTCATTTATACAGTCCTACTAGTAAATTTCAAACTTTATATATACAGTCCTAGAGATCTTATCAGGAAACAAAAAATGTTCAAATAAATCTGTCACTCCAATGATATTATATGCAAAGATATAACCCAGATCTAATTAATAATTAATAATGTAATTAACTTCAAAATGTCTAATAATATAGCTTATAATCATTACCACTTAGAAATAGATAATTTTCAAATAAATCTGTCACTCCAATATTTTGTTGTGAGATAAGACATTATGCTTAGTCATAATAAACAGCTGCGCCATAAGCGCATGATACGCCCATCGAATTGTGTGTGAATTTTTATGCAATAAGCATAAATAGTTTCTGACATACGGCATGACATGCGAAAACCCCCTTTTTTCACAAAAAACTCAATATCTCTAAGATAAAATTTTGAATCAAAACCAAAAAGTATACAGATCTTTAGATTAATATAACTAAGAAGTGTGTAAAATTTTAAGCAATAATCATAAATCGTTTTTGAGATACGGCGCGACATGTGAAAACCCCCCTTTTAAAAAAAAAATCAATATCTCAAAATTAAAATTTGGAATCAAAACCAAAAAGTATACAGATCTTTAGATTAATATAACTAAGAAGTGTGTAAAATTTTAAGCAATAATCATAAATCGTTTTTGAGATACGGCGCGACATGTGAAAAATCCCTCCCCCTTTTTTCACAAAATACTCAATAACTCAAAAATAAAATTTTGAATCATCACCAAAAAGTATACAGATCATAAGGTTAATATAACTAAGAAGTGTGTAAAGTTTTAAGCAATAATCATAAACTGTTTTTGAGATACGGCACGACATGTGAAAAACCCCTCCCCCTTTTTTAACAAAATACTCAATATCTCTAAAATAAAATTTTGAATCATCACCAAAAAGTATACAGATCTTAAGATTAATATAACTAAGAAGTGTGTAAAGTTTTAAGCAATAATAAATTGTTTTTGAGATACGGCGTGACATGTGAAAAAAAACACACACCTGTTTTAGTTACTAAGTCCCGTAACTCAAAAAGTTTTAATCTTATTTTCACCAAAAGTATACAGATCGTTTGACCATCATAAGAAACAACTATGTTAAGTTTCATGAAATTTGGATAAGTCATTCTCAAGTTACAGTGCGGCATGTTTACGCCGGACAGACAGACGGGCATACGGACTGACAGACGGACTGACACCGGACATTTGTATATCATAATACGTCCCATAAAAAATTGACGGGCATATAAAAATGATAACAAGAGTAAAATATTTTAAAATTCCACTTTAGGATATTAAAAATGGCGATAACTCACAAAGGAGATATACTAATATCTTGAAAATTGAACTAGACCTTCATTAAGTCCCAGGAAACAACATATTTAAATTTGAAAAAAATTTGTTAAAGCGTTTTCATGTTATTCTGCTGACAAGCTGTTTGGCAGCCGCCCGTAGATATGCCCAGCCACCTGCCGTACATCACCATTTTAATAACCGATATTTCCTTTAAAAAATCCAGTTAAAAACACATTCTGTATACATAATTCGTCTAAATAACAGCCCAACAATGTTAGATCTGTAAATTTGAGGAAGCAAATTTGTTGTTCTTCCCTGGCCCGGCTTCGAACTCATGCTACTGAGATATTGTGGCACCAAATCGCCTTGCACTATGCCCGACGCTCTAGACCACTCGACCACCTAGCCTCGATAAAATCAAGCTTTCGGTGGCCGGGTGTTACCTTTCCACGTCAGTTTTTATCTAGCGTCGTAACACAGTACATGATATATAAGGCATGAAGATGGAATATTACAGATCAGCTGAATTATCTATCGTAGAGGATCTTACAAATTAATGTAGGATGCAGTCACAGAAATAATTATATTATAAGTACGTCTGAACCAGTGACACCTCTACGACAGATTTTATCCATCGGATCACCAGTGATGGTGATACAAGGCTGAAAACACATTCTGTATACATAGTTAGATCTGTAAATTTACGGAAGCAAATTTTTTTTTTTCTTCCCTGGCCATGATTCGAACTCATGCTACTGAGATATCGTGGCACCAAATCGCCTTGCACTATGCCTGACGCGCTAGACCACTCGACCACCTGGGCTCGACATTTTTAATGTTAAATATTAATATTGAAATCATTTATCAGCTTTAATGAGTAGAAATGTGTTGTTTAAATCTCAATGAGATATTTAAGCAAAGATATAGTGGAACAGGATCTGCTTACTTTTCCGAAGCACAAGAGTAGTTGGGGTTTGTGTTGCTCAGACTTTTTAATTAGTGTTTTGTGAATATATTAGTCTTTTCAGCTTCTTGTGTTTTTTACAAAGTCAGTTGTCAGTTTCTCTCTGACTTATGAGTTTTGAATGGGACATCCCCTTGGCATCTTCCACCTCTTTTATAAATGTAAAAAAAAAATTCCAAACTTAATTAATCAAAATAGACAAAAAAAAAGATGGGTACATGGCCAAAGAATCTCTATGAAAATGAGATGTGTCAATGCTAATACAACTGCATACCAAATATCATTAACCATTAGTGGTTCCCCTTAAACTGATCTAATCACAAACTTTACATTTAAACAAGCAAAAGTTTCAAAATCAATAATCCATGACAGAGGTGGCATGGCCAAATAATCTCCATGGAAATACTTAATAAATACAACTGCATACCAAAGATTATAGGCTTATCATTAGTGGTTTCCTTTAAACTGACCTCAAGAGGCAAGACAAAAACCATACACATTTCTGGAATAACCTTCAACAGGTATATTTGTGCACAATAGTGATGTACAATTAAAAAGTCAGAAAGAACAATTGTTTTTCATATCTGTTTTTATTTTAGACAATTCCTATTGTTGATCATATTTACACAATTACAATTCATTGTAACAATATTTCTTTATACAAAAAAATAATTTTAACTTTCATAAACATTCCCCCTCTCTCTCTCTTTTCTCACACACTCCTCCTAACATTTCATTTTGTAGATAAATCTTTGGCTGATTTTTATTAATCAACAACATCACTAGCACTAACAATCTAAGCAACATAAGGGTTCAACAGCAAAATAAAATCATTATCAACAGAAATTTACAGTATTTGTTCAATGTTGTAGCACTACAAAATATAACAAACAAAGTTCCACCCATTTCAAGTTCTTTTTTTAATGAGAGTGTGGATTATCTCTAAACTTCTAAGTGGGATAAACATAATTTTCAACACTCATCTCTAAGAGTGACTTGAATCTTGGAAAATCTTTGATCTAAAGTTTCCTTATTTTTGACTGGTTTTTTAATGACAGTGGATTATCTTCAAACTTCTAAGTGGGATAAACATAATTTTCAACACTCATCACACCTTTCAAGTTAATATTTAAGAGTGACTTGATTCTTGGAAAGTCTTTGATCTAAAGTTTCCTTACTTTTGACTGGTTTTACTACATATGAATAACAAACTCTTCAACTTTTGAAATACACTAAAAAATATGTATGATAAACTCCTCCTCAAAAATAAAAAAAACAAAAAACAAAAAAAAACAATTTCATACTGTAGCCTATTTTTGGAAATTGAAATAGTGTTGATATAAATTTTATTATGTATTGAAATGTGTACAACCTCAAAAATTGAGGACAAAAAATAATTTTCTAATTTTGAAAAAAAACATCAATTCATTAAATAACTGACATGTAGAGCTCTACTTATATTTTTTTCTTAACCAAAGAATCTCAAACCTATACCATATATACTGCAGCCAATCAAACACTCTATATAACCATTTAGAGTTCAGGTACTATGCCTGAAACCAATTTTCACAATCAACAAAACATTACACAGTAAAATATATTTTTTGTCCTTCTTTATATCGAAAGAAGAACATTAGTTATGTACAAATCATCAACATTGTTAAAAGCAATAAATAACAATAATTCAATGATTGTGTGAAATTTATCCAAAAAAGAAATTCATTAAGTTTTTTTTGTTTCTTTTAAAACATCAAGTACTAAGTTTAAACAATTTTATAAAGGAAGAAAGATCATACAACTGAAACCCAGATCTTTTAATGCCTTAACATGCTTTGACTTCAATTGAAATGCAAAATTACAAAAAGAAATATTGCACTGCTTTATAAAATGTGTAAAGATTATAAAAACAAAGTCAGAAATATGACTGGCCAGCTATTAAATTGATTTTTACAATAAAGTTCTCATATCAATAACAGGCAAAATGAAAAATGAGAGCAGAAAATGAACACAATTGGCAATTCTGCTAATTTCTATGGCCATTTTCCCCTTTGAACTAGATGTTCAACTCTTAATCAATATTCACATCACTTTGTGTTACATGAACCAAAAACATCTTGGTTCTCACTCTAGATTTAACCTCAATTTTTAATATAAACTAACTTGAACATACAATGGCTAATTTAGAGTAAGCAAAATGTTGTAAGCATTCAATAAAGAGATGACCTCTAGTCCTAAAAGAAAGTAGCCAATGGAAATTTCAATTCTGTCATGATGTGTAAAATGCTATAATACAAAATGTCACACAACTGATATCACTTTTCATATACAAACATACTTCAACTCCAAACACTTGTTGAAAGACACTATGGTTTTTCTATCACACATATTAACACTTCATAAACTTTGATGATGTAATGTCACATGATAATTATACTATGGGTCACATGATATCAATACTATTGTCACATGTAAATGCAATTGTCACATGACATCAATGTTTCAATTGACTGTCATTACTAGATTCTGAATATCCAGATTCCGGATATCCATGTCCTTCCAGACGTGGATCCTTGTGAATACGTGGATCTTGTAAATCACTTTTCCTTTTTCTCTCTGGATGAAACTGTGAATAACTGTAAAATAAAACACAACAAATGCAACAGACAATTCTAAAAGTCAAGCAAACTTTGATTTATGTCAGTCAGTAATATATCATACTGTCCAGTACATGTGATTTTTTTGGTTTTGTTTCTTTTGGGTTTTTTTTTTTATTATTTCATGTGCCTTCCAAATTTTTATTTTTATTTATTATTATTTTTTTTATTGATATTGTGCATGAGATAGATAGTTAGTATCAATAATGCAAACAACAAAAAAATTGTACACAAGTATTTTTTTACCAAATATCAATAGTCTATTATAAGTTCTTTTTACTGAAGACATTTCATCAGAAAATATATCATTTAAATATGTTGCTAATCCAAAACTTGAGTAGGAAGTAGGTTTTGATTATCTTTACACATTTATTACCATAAATATAAACAATGACACCATGCATTTGTAATTTTCACTATCTCTTACTAGCTTACCTATCATGAGATGACCTGTTATACCCGGAGTTCCCATAATCCCTATGACCAAACTGTCCATAGTCAGATCTATGATGAAAGTCCTGTCCACGCTCTCGATACTCAGGATGGTTGTTCCTGTAATTAGGATCATGATCATAGCTGGGTCCTGGTCTGTGTTCTCTAGAATAGTGGTTACCAGACCCATACTCTCGTCGATCATGATTAAATCTATAAAAAATACAAAATTTACCTCATTAAATAATATGAAATGTTAGTAAATTTTCTGCTGCTTTTATGCTTATTTTTGAAAAACAGTCAAGCCCCGTAAAAAATCTAAATTTAAGGAAGGGAGACAAAAATAATATACAGTCATATCCAGCATATTTAAATATTTCACAAATAACAATGACTAAAATTTACACTTAAAATAAGACAAACCCTAGTGATATTCATACTGAAATAAACTTAAGTTTAACAATTCCATTTTTGAAATCCTTTTTCAATTATGTAAGATAAGATTGAAAGTAAGATCCAAATTCAATATGAATCTGTTTCCATCTGAAAGAAGAACTAATGACCAGAAATCCTAGTATATGTGGTTTTTAAATTTTCTATAGTGTAGAAATTGCTTGACCATTACAATAAAGGTTTTCAGACTAAGATATTTGTAGATTAAAATTACAATTTTTCCTCTTCGCTGCTTAGAGCTTATATTAATAACTGCATAACTAAACAAAAAAATAATGTTTACAATTTATATAATTTGTGATTAACACTCATTTTTCTACTAAAATATGTGTGTATAATGTCTAAAAATTGACAAACCTGTGATGAGAATGATCTCCCCCACCATATCTTTGGTAGTTGTCTGATCTTCTGTATGATCCTCCTTTATCTCCATACCTGTAATCAAAATTTTTTAATGTAATAATGTTATCCATTCCTTTTCTTATTAAAGGTACAATTCTCTTCAAATATACCTAGCAAATCTATTTACTGAAAGATCAAAGCTGTATAATTTCTATGAATACTAATTCCTCATCCAGTTATTCAACTTTTCTCTTCACCAACACAAATAAGAGTACTTAATTTTTTTTAGTCAGAACTTAAAGTCATTTATATGCTAACTTGTATTAAATTTTGAGCTTAAATACAACTGTAATTTTTGGTTGTGTTAAAATAAATGCAAGTAAAGGAAATTTTGTAATGTAACCTGTTTTCGTGTTCTATTTTATATTTTATATAACAAAGACAGCCATGTTTGAAGGCAGATGGGATCAACAATGAATCCTGAGGTGGGTTCAACCTTATTTTAGTAGCAATAAGACCTTCATAAGATTTTACAGATCTGTTTAATTGAATGTTAGTCAGATTTTCTATTTTCAGTAAAGGACAAGATTGAAGGTGGTTGGGAGTCAGGATAATTTTAAGTTCATATAAATGATGCAGGTCATATTTGTTTCCTATGGTCTCATGTTTTCAAAGGAGAATTTTTTTTTATAAAGTTTAAGAAGGACAACAGATGACAGATGATAAAATCCAAGAGATGGCAATAATTCAACATGCCCTTTAGGCCAGGTGAGCTAAGCTCAATATTCGTCTTTAGGACCGGCGAGCTAAAAGAGTGTTTTGTCAAAATCTAAAACAAAAAAAAATCAAAGCAAAATGCACTACAGAAGAGATTTATTAGGAAAAGTTCAAAAATTGAAACCACAGGTATTGCATCATGTGAAAATGTCCACTGTAAACAGTACCTACCTGCTGGGAGGAGGGTCGTCAGCTCTCTGTAATGGGCTGGCATGCTGCCATGGACTAGATGAATGTTCTGGACGGTGGTCACGTCCCCTGTTGGACATGTTACTACCAGGAGGATGACGATTATTTGCAGTGGAACTACAAACAAAAATATTATCATTAATGTTTGTTTAGAGTTTTTGTATTCAAATAAATCTTGTTTCATTCATTCTACAACAATTTCATAACTCATTTAAAACCAATACCAATTATTGCAAGTCTTGAAAAAACTGAGAATATGTATACCAATTTAACAGATTATCAAAAGTAAATAGATATTGAGAAATAAAAGAGCTTCATATGATTGATTGCATCTCAGATAACACTCAATATTTTCCAGACTAAAACTTTTACTTACTGTTTAGTGAAATCTCTACCCTGATCATGGTTATGAGAATGTTTGTTATGATCTGATTCTCCTTGATGCTTGTGTGGTTTATGTTTATCTTGATGTGATGTGTTATGATTCTGGGTGTGTGCTTTGGCCTGAAAAAAACAACAAAATTCCTTTAATGACTTTTCACTTTGAGAATCAATGGACATATTGTTTGCAGCAAAGCTAATAAATCATATTCCATAGAAATATTTATACAATCCCTATTTTAAGTAGACAACACTGGCCAATTTATTGACTTCAATTCCAAGATTGCTGCCATACAGTTTTTGCACATACATTTTTATGTCTCACATTCTATGAATTTCATCGCAGGCGAGACAAAAACGAAGCATATTATCTGAATTGTAGTTCTTAAAAAAGATGCGTGAAATTTCAACAGATGGATGGAAAGACAGAGGTAACCCAGTATCGCCACCTCCGTCAGAACGGGGGTATAATAACTGCTGGATCAAAACCAATCCATGCCCCATCTTTTAAGAATCAGTAGAATTTCAACAAATTTCAGTCTTTTTCAGAAAACAATTCAGCATTCATTAGAACTTAAATGAATCAAAGTTTCATTTACAGTCTACTCTCGTTATCTCGAAGTCGGACATGCCAGAGAAATATTTGAGACTCAAACATACAGGAAGTTTGACAGACCAAGGGATACAATTCTTGCTTAGCTTGGTAAGGGTAGAATAAGTCCTGATGAATATGGGTAGGGGATCAATATTCTGTTCTGAGAATGATGTATCTGTATGTAATGTTCTTTTATTATTATAATAAAATTATATAATTTTTAGTCTCTTATTCATTTCTTTGTACAGTTACAATTTTTTCACATAGTTTTTAGCCAAAAGAGTAATTTCCAATCAATCTTAGTCTGATTTAAAGTTGATAAAATTGTTCATTCTCGTATACAAGAGATTTTAATTTTCTTTTATTTTAATCTTTTTCTGCAAGAAGGAGTACAAACAGATTAAAGAAGCTGATTGAGTAGTTTTGAGTTGATCACCAAGTCGTAATCCCTTCTTTCTGCACACCCAAGCTCATAAACATATGATTACGATTAATTATTTTTCAAACATTATAAATAATTTGTCATAAAATATAACAATGCATCACTAATTATTTATCATGGTGATCAAAGATAATCTTAGGTAAAAACTCGTGGAAAATGAATGTCATAAATCAATACTGTTGTCAGTGACGGGATATTTAATTACACGTGTATTATCAGATGAACTCTTCAATCCATTTAAATCCCTGAGGTCATGTTTTGACATATGTGTATTAGTTTGAGATACATGTAAATAATGCAATTTGAATACTTTTGTTAACCTTGGGACTGTAAATTTGGTTCGGGTCAACCGAAATTTCAACTCATCAGGAGTCGAAATACATATGTTTATATGGAACAAAGTTCAGGACCACGGGAAAACTTCAACTCATCCCAAATTTCGAGTCAACCAAGTTCGATACAACGATTTAACTGTATTTATGAAATATTTCCCGTTTTGAGAAATTTCATTCTTGTTAAAATAACATTACAAGTATACTATTCAATTAAATTTCAAGACCAAGGTATATTTTACCTCTTCTCTTTCCTTCTCCTCTTCTCTCTTTCTGTATGCATGTTTGTACAATTTGTGCAACTTTCTTGCATCAAATTCTGTAAACTTTGATACAAAGTTCCATAAATGGCTGTAAAATAGAAAATTATTTATATATATAAATATTAAGAGATCCAAATTTCATAATAAATTACATTCAGTCTTTTGGATTTTTAGAGAGGGAGGGGGGGTATCTCTGTTTCATCCATAATGATGCATATTCTACACGTGTCCAATAACTTTTAGAAATTTATGAAATTTCCAGTATCAAAACCAAACAAGATCAAAAATCTTAAAACTAAATCTTTTAGAATCTTCTTGGTAGAGTTGTAAATAAATATATTTTTCCACATTGACAGCATAAAACTATCTGCAATAATTTTTCCTCTAAACCTGTGTTTATCTTTTCCATAGAATCATTTTACCTCCAATCAGGGGCCAAGCTGTCTTCCACCCAAAAGCTGTATTTTTTTTACCCTGGTTTTAATTTAGCTATTAGTAATTTCAAATAAACTCTCATTTAGTTATATAATTAAATTTTCCAATTTACCCTCTCCATGTCTTGATTTTTTCCGGATCATTCAAGGTTGACAGACATTCTGTAATTCTGTCACCAATCCTTAACAGGCATTGTTTAGTATGAACTACTTGATCCTTCTCTGACATCCCCTCGTCTGGATTGTCTAACTTCCGCAGTGCTCTCTTAACTGGTCTCATCATCTCTTTACACTGAAACAAATCAAAAACATTTTATTAAATCAACAGATCTGGGATTGACTTGTTACAACAGTAAAACTTAATTTTAAGAGACTCACTTAAGGAGCATGGAGAAAGAGATTAAAAAACTTGCTCATATGTCTTTTTTGCATTCAAAACTAAATCATCTTCAATATCAAGTCTAGGTAAAAACAGGTTTCCCCCTCTACAAATTCAAACTTTCATGAAAATGATAGGTATGATACAATGAACATATTTTTATTCACCATATATTTAGTTTAATAGATTTTATTTTGAAAGACCAACTGTTTACCATGACAACAATAGAGAACCAGAAAAGAAAATTGAGAACAATAAAATTAAATGAATCTGCAGAAATTCAAACATAGTAAATTGTCCTGAAATTTTGGTATAGAACTACACATTTTAGAGATCTGTTTTATTCTAACCTTTTTCTTGTATTTCTGTTTTCTAAGATATATGTCTTATCTAATTTTGTATGCATCAACAGTTGTTCAATAAACCCCTATAATACTACATTGTGTTTCTCTTTATCTATTATCTTTTTTTTTCATTTAATGGGTCTATAAAACCAAAAACCAAAAAACCGAAATATCAAATAAATGCAATATTCTCCCGAATCACAATAAATAATATGATGGACCAACCTTTCTAAACACTTCATCAGGAAGTTCAACATCAAAATCTTCAGAGGCCACAGCCACAGGGGTTGTGTTGGCAGTAAAATGCATTGGACCATCTTCCTTCTTAGGTTTCTTCTAAAATTAAAAAAATAATAGTTTCCTTGTTATTAGTGATCAACAGAAAATTATCCTTTTAATAGAATTTAATATCTACAATGTAGGAAGCAAGACTTGTGTTGGATAAAAGTAAAAGTATACTACTTTTAAGTCTTTAAAATTAAAAGTATGAATCTGATCCAAATCTCTATAACATCAATATTTAGCTAATATGTGTTCACTTTGTATGTGAACAGTTTTTTTTACTTTGATTAAAGAAGTAAGAGATGAGAGGAAAGTTCTTTATTACAAGCATTTCTTTGTCAAAATTGACTCGAGTATAAAATAACTTTGGAATAAATGCAATTCACATGGTTTTAAACTGCTATGATTAAGCAAAAGGTTTTGTTCTCTGTTGTATCATTGTTAATTTTAGATACTAGTACTAGGACTAACTGGGTATTATAATTAACAAATAGCTTTTTATTCTTTTTACCCCAGTAGATTTTACATATCAAATCATATCATTGTTGTTTTCTAAAATATTTGTAATGATCATTTATGTCATTTACAGAGCCTCTTTCCAGAAAAACAGAACACTGTCCATTCAGAAATTTAAACATTAATCATTATTTTGAACAAAGGGACTGGAATGGGATAGAATTATTTCAAATTGGCATCGTTAATGAGTTCAAACTAATTTGAAGGAAAAAAACATTACGAGCCACCTTAATAAAATTTGCATTTCATTATTTTTCAATTTGCATGCTTAACTGCACTAGGTTCTAAATCTACAGTACAATAGAAGGAAGATGTGTAATACTGGTCAATATTGTTTACTATACAAACCTTTTTCTTCTTTTCTTTCTTTGGTTTTTCTCCTGATTTACTTTTCACTTTTGTTTCCACTTCAATCTGATGATCTTTGGGTTCTACTTTCTCCTTCTTTTTCTTGTAATTTTCTGGGAAACTATCCATAGTACTGTCATCTCTAGCACTAGACTTTACTTTAGCACTATTGTCCGAGTCGGAGGACTCTTTTTCAATAACTTCTGCTTTTGATTTTGGCTTTCTTTTCTTTCTTGGTTTTGCTTCAGAATTATTCTTCACCTGCATTCCATAATAAAAACATGTTTTTTAAAACTAATACTTTCAGATAAATGTCACGACAGAATTGGCAAATCCTTAGAAAAAATCTACCCTGCTGAAAAGTTGCGAAGATCAATCAAGATTTGTTAATCAAAACAATATAATTCATGTTTTTTACTAGCAGCATTCAAATTAGAAACTGTATCTATTAATTTGTTTCCAGTACTGCAAAATCTAGTGCCATTACTATTTTTATGACATGTGACAAACTTTCATTTCTTTATTGAAACTTGAAAATATTTATGCAATTAGTGAAAGTGATTGACAACAATTCTTTTATATATTATTTGCATCATATTCTTCATACAACCCATTAACAGTCAAATCACGGAAACTTGTCATGTAATTTTCCCAGAAACTTTATTAAAGAAAAACTTACCGGAGCAGGTTTATCAGCATCTGATTTCTTACTAAGCATCTTGAGTAAATATTCCACACGAGTATGTAAATGTTTGGCTTGTGGCTTCTCATTCTTACCACCTGGCAAAATCTGAAATACAAGAAATTTACAACACAGTTATTCTGTTTCAATACAAATATTATTTCAATTGGGTAGAAGTGCACGAGTCAAAATTGGAATAAATATTTTCAGGGTAGAACTGCCATGAAAAATCACCATTTGTTTATTTTAAATGTAAAGAATAGCCCTCAAACACTACAAGGCAAATCCTCATTCAGTCTGGAAACTTTAAATATATAGTACTTTATATTTGATGGCTGGTAGAACAGCTTATCCTGTAGGTTTGATCTCAATGCTGCTTTTAAGCTAACTGTCAGGTGAACCAAACTTGACTTACAAAATAATGTTGCCAGTCATATTTCAGTAACAGAACCTTACCTTGTCATGTAGGTTAAAATCGGGATCCATTTTGATGGCTTCCCAGTTTCCCATGCCATACTCATATACTCCTTTCAGCAAGCTACAGTCATCTTCCTCGCTCCATTCACAATCCCAATGACAAACTTTTACATGGGTGTCTATTTTAAACCTGTTATACAGAAAATTACAATTAACCTCATTAGACTAGAATCTAGATAATAACTGCTTTCCAAGAGCATTTCTTCATTTTACAGACATTTGTTTAAGCTGAACATATCAATTGCTTATGTTCAAGATAAGATATTTCATTATACTAAAATTACAAGGTCACTTAATACAAACCAATAACTGAAATGCAAGACTCTACTTTTATTCCTTCTAGCATCTGTTTAATGCCAGTGTTTATCAGATTAACAGAAAATTCATTTTGGTTCATGCATTGTAATTGAGTTATATATATTCACTTCCTTTTTCCATCTTATTTAATGAAAAAATACGTTGTCTAAATATACAGACTCTGCTTCTGTATGAAAAATAACACAACTGAATGAATCAATATCTATTTGCCTTTAAATCTTTTCTAAATTTCATCGGCAATGAAAGATAATTTTTGGTCCTGATCAAGACAACATGTGTATTACCTTTTCTTTTCCTCTCTATTTTTAGGTATAAGATCATCCAATTGTTCCAGATCTTGCATTGCTTTCATGACAGGCTGTACAGCCACCACAACACCCGATATATTAAATGATGGTCCTTTTTCTCTTTTCTTCTTGGCTATTAATAAAATATTAATAGAATACTATTCAAATGGAAATCAAAGGAGACTTCTATAACACATTTTAATATTACACATGGGATATCTTATGAGTGTCTAATTCTTGTTCCGTTCTTGGTGGACATAAACAACACACTCTAATGTCAATTATTTGAAAATATGATTACTACAGTTTAGATCAATTCAATTCCACAATTTTGACAGGTATTTGGCTTTTTCATTATAAAGTTAATACAATCAAATTTGATTTTAAATTAGTTTGAAATAAAATGCTCCGCAGGGCGCAGCTTGATACGACCGCAGAGGTCGAACCCTGAACAGTTGGGGCAAGTATGGACACAACATTCAAGCTTGATACAGCTCTGAATTTGGATTGTGATTAAAAATTTAACACAGCATAGGTTTCTGACACAGAATGAATGTGGTCTAAGAACTTAAAAATTTTAAATTGGACATTCACCTATTATGGTCCAATATCCAAAATCTAAATACATGGTTAGATTCAGCATATCAAAGAACCCCAAGAATTCAATTTTTGATGAAATCAAACAAAGTTTAATTTTGGACCCTTTTGACCTCAATGTGGACAAAGTTGATAACGGGGCCCAAAAATCAAAAATCTAAATACATGGTTAGATTCAGCATATCAAAGAACCCCATATATTTAATTTTTGTTGAAATCAAACAAAGTTTAATTTTGGACCCCGATTTGGACCAACTTGAAAACTGGGCCCATAATCAAAAATCTAAATACATGTTTAGATTCAGCATATCAAAGAACCCTAAAAATTCAATTTTTGTTAAAATCAAACTAAATTTAATTTTGGACCCTTTGGACCTTAATGTAGACCAATTTGAAAACGGAACCAAAAATTAAGAATCTAGATTCGGCATATCAAAGAACCCCAATAATTCAATTTTTGATGAAATCAAACAAAGTTAAATTTTGGACCCTTTGGACCTCAATGTGGACCAATCTAAAAACGGGGCCCAAAATCCAAAAACTTAATACACGGTTAGATTCAGCATATTAAAGAACCCCAAGAATTCAAGAATAAAACCCCTTTGAAATTGATCAAGAAATAAGCAATTTAAACGAAGTATCTTCTTTTGCACAATACTGTGCAATTGAATATTTCTTGCTATTGCGCAATACAGTACAATTGACAATTTCTTGCTATTGCGCAATATTGTGCTATTGGATATTTCTTGCTATTGTGCAATACTGTGCAATTGAAGATTTCTTGCTATTGTGCAATACTGTGCAATTGAAAATTTCTTGCTATTGCACAATACTTATTATATAATAATTTACACATCTTGTTTGGTGTGTATCTCCTACCATATCATTATTATTTGCTTTTAAATATTAATCAGAAATAACCAACTTAAAATGGAAAATTTTAAAAGAAAAAAAAAAGGAAAAAAAGAAAAAAAAAAAATCCCCCCCCCAATTTTTTGAACCCCCTTATGATTCATCACCCCCAAACTCAATCCCAGCCTTCCCTTTGTGGTATGGTACCTTGCAGTACAATTTCAGAGAGATCCATACACTTGAACACAAGTTATTGTCTGGAAACTAGAAAAATGCTTATTTTTGGCCCCTTTTTGGCCCCCAATTCCTAAACGTTTCGGGCAATTACCCCCAAACTCAATTCCAGCTTTCCCTTTGTGATATGGAACCTTGTAGTACAATTTCAGAAATATCCAAACACTTACACACAAGTTATTGTCATGAAACTAGAAAAATGCTTGTTTTTTGCCCCTTTTTTGGCCCCTAATTCCTAAAATTTTGAGGCAATTACCCCCAAAATCAATTACAGCCTTCCCTTTGTGATATGGAACCTTGTGGTACAATGTCAGAGAGATCCATACACTTACACACAAGTTATTGTCTGGAAGTTACAAAAATGCTTATTTTTGGCCCTTTTTGGCCCCTAATTCCTTAACTGTTGGTACCATAACCCATAAAATCAATCCCAACCTTCCTTTTGTGGTATTGAACCTTATGGTAAAATTTCATGGAGATCCATTCACCTAAACTTAAGTTAGAGTGCGAAAACCAATGTGTCTTCGGACGATGCCAACGTCATACCAATATACGACCAAAAAATTTTTAATTTTTGCGGTCGTATAAAAAGAGAGTTTTCCAGAATTACCTATCACAATTACATGTATTATAAACAAGTGATATTCATATCACCTTGCAAAACGCTTCCTTGAACATAAAACTACATGGGAAGGTTACCTGGAGTATTCATTCCATCAACACTAGCCTCTTCTTCATTTTTAACTTTATTGTGATTGTGTTCGTCTAGACTTTGTTCACAACCAGACATCAATATCTGTGCCAACTTTTTCAGATCTCCTTCAGATTTCTCTTGTAATTCTGCATCACAGGCTATAGCATCAAGTCTGAAATATCAATAAGCAAGTTGCTATTTATTTTTGAGATTTGATATAATATTAAGATATATATTCATGGGTTCAATTATATATTATTTATATTTTTACTGAAAAAACAACAACAATAAAATCACTACAAAATTTACTACTATCGTTTTTTTATCTGTTCACCAAACCATGAAAATAATATATTTCACCATTTTAAATTTAAAAAAAAAAGGAGATGTGGCATTTTGGCCCCTAAGGTGAATATACACCAGAGACCACAGGAAAGTGATTTCAAAAAGTACACGATACCAAACAGCCTTCAAACAATGAGAAAAACCCATACCCTATAGCAAGACATAAAAGGCCCTTTTATGGCAAATGTGAAACAGTCTGATTTATATTAAAAAAATAAACGAAAACAATTAGAACAAACAGCAATCAACCATAACCACTGGAAAACAGGCTCCTTGATTTTAACATGAAAATACAAGTTGTAATTTAGTGATAATTTAAATTGAAATCTTCCCAGTTCTAACATGAGAGAGAATATCAAATTAGTCATGCTTCTGGGATAACTTCCTTTCTCCTACAAGAATTGAACTTTAAAGAAAACAATTTTCTAATGCAAAACTCAAGTCACTATTGCAAACGTAGGCATAACATTGACTGTTTACTTGTTAATGGGCTATACTATAAAAGCTTTTCCTTATTCTAATATTCTTTGTTGATCTAAATCATAAATGCAAATTCTTACCTAGTCAAAGGTCTACCAAACTTTTTAAAACTTTTGATAAATCTTCTAATTTCAGCATCAGTGAACCCTCTGACTTTTCCCTTACTGCCACCTGGAGGCCTTCCACGTTTCTTTGGTTCGTCTTCATCCTCCTCCTCATCCTCACTTTCATCATCTTCATCTTCTTCATCGTCATCCTTTTTTTTCTTCTTCTTTTTCTTCTCATCAGAATCATAATCCACCTGAATCTATATAACAAGTAATGCCAATTTTATTTTTTACCTAATGAAACAATACATTTGTTAACCAATTTTCTTGAACTTGTCAATTTAATCTGAATTTCATATAGGACGACTTAAATTTTGTTAGTCACTGAAACCGTATTTCTCATCTGCAACATTCAGCTCCATTCACATTTTTCAATCAATAGGCAAGATATTTTTCAACAGAGCTCAAATTAAGTCATAACTACATTTACCTCTTGCAAGAACATTAGATTCCATTAGATGTTTGATTTAAAATGTAAATTCATGTATGTTGAAATACATTGCAAAATTTTACTCTTTTCTTAATCAAAAGTTACTTATAATAATAACATTTTAACATTCAACGTGTTGTCTGACTTGACAAAGAGAAAGAGTGCTTTTTGTTCATTTACATTCAAACTCGTACAAGTGTTAACTTATTTCTTACAACTGGTCAGTTCAGATTGAATTTTACCTTGCACTTTTTAAACATTTGTTAGGTAATGAAATAAATGTCCCCAGGTAAAACAATGTCCTTCACATACCTTTACCTCTGATTTACATGAGTTCAATTTGAGCAACTATGGTTTCCTCCCATGTTTTTTTTTAAATTAAGATAGAAAGAATTGACAGCTTGCAAGAAAAAAATTGGTTCACACTTCCGTGATTTCAGTTGCAATTTATGTTTTTTTGCATCTGCATTGAAAGAAGGATTGGCTATATTTTGGCCATCAGATTGCTGCTTAAAGGCAGTTACTTAAATAAGACACCCTATTAATAGACCATACAGTACAATTCAGGAAATTGTAACAAGGACTTTCAGTACCTTCTAATCCAAGTATAAAATTACCTGTTTAACAGTTTTCCTGCTTCTTGGGGGTAAATTTAATTCCAGAAGTCTTTTTTGCTCTTCTTCTTCTTCAATTTTCCTTCTGTCATTTTCAGGAATAATCGAGTCCCACTCTTTACCTACAAAAAAAAATGTATAAGATAAAAGTACAAAATAAAGTTTAAAATATCTCATCTGAACTAGCTATCTATACTGGTAAATCACAAAGCATTTTCATATTGAGTGTTTTGTTCTTGCCAAAAATGAATGTATAAACGTTTGCCTGACTCTATTCAGGAATCTAGTTACATATGTTTGCCTGTCCCTAGTCAGCAACCTAGTCACACATGTTTGTCTGCCCTAGTCTGACAGGAACCTAGTCACACATGTTTGCCTGCCCTAGTCTGACAGGAACCTAGTCACACGTTTGTCTGCCCTAGTCTGACAGGAACCTAGTCACACATGGTTGCCTGTCCCTATCTTTTTTAAATCTAGTTATAACTTTTTCAACACTCTTAGGGTAATTTAGAGCTGAATATTTTCTATATCTTTGACATAAAAGCCATATCTCCTTTTAAATATATTTATAATTTTGTTCTTGTCAAAACGGAGAATCTCACCTGTATCTTCTTCTACCTTTACACTAGGTGGTGGGTCATCTTCTTCAAGATTATCAAAACTGACCACCTTAAACTGAGACAGTAGTTCATCTCCCAACATAGGTTGTTCCGATTCTCTCGTTTCAGCACGGTTAAGGATGTCATCAATGTCCACCTGAGGTTCCTCTTCGTTTTCCTCGTCTTCCTTGAACAATTCTTCAGCACCAAACTTCAATATAGCTGCCAATTCTTCTTTTTTGAAGGGCGTTGACGTACTGTAACAATAATAATACAAACTTTATTCAAAGTTTACAATATTTTAAAGCAATATTCATTGCATGATATTTTTTTTTCATTTATACTCTTCAAAATACTGATGATCATGTGTTAATCAAATCCATTTTCATTAAATATAAAAAGAAGTTATTTCTAACGGTATTTATGGCATTGGATTGCTGTCTCATTTACCTAGAAGGGAGCTAATATGTTGTTTGTGGCTACCTTGACCATCGCTTTCTCTGATAGACGCATAGTATTTTTTTTTTGCTGGTGGGGGCTGAAGAATCCCGTCCATATTTAAATGAAATAGCCCTTGGGCATTATCTTTTCAATTATTATGTGATTATACCTGGATGGGACCTGATTTTTGTTCAGCACAGTCCTACCAGTAGTGTCCATTCTCTGTATGATCAGATGATCTAGCACCATTTTACGTTTAGCTCTTTCCACAATATCCTCTTCTACACTGTTCTTTGTCACTAACCTATATACACTAACCTAAATACAAAATATTTGAAATTCATATTACGAATTTTGTTGTGTGCTTATTTTCCAGATTTAAAAGTATTTAACTAAATGTTCTTTAATTAGTCAATTAAAAAGCTAACAGATTTTTCATATAATATTTAAAATAAGTATTGATGACATTTTGAAATACCCCTTAATTTTGAATTTCTTCCAATATTTAAGGAGTCAATTCATTTAGGTTTTGGCGAATTCCAAACTAGTATTCTGAAAGCCTTTGATTAAGTTAAAAACTATTTATTTTTGTGCATGAACAACACACAACTATTAAAACAGCTATCTGAAGACATAACTTTTTTCAGACTTCTTCTATGGAAGTGCCAAAGTTGATGGAATGTTTGTCTTTGGAATCAACATAAATTGTCTATTTTGTGTCAATACTTTGCAAATTAGCAATTTTCTAGCAGATTCTTATAAGCATGGTCCCAACGTACATTTTTCGTTAAGTTTTGTTTTAATGTTAGCAATCAAAAGAACTTTAACAATGCATTATTGCAAATGTTCTAAGCTAGTTTATTAGCAGTAAATATTTACATTGTTTCTTTTTGAACTGTGTTTTCTAGAGACATTACAAGTAACCTTCCTCAAAGAGTATCTACATTCAGATGAGTCACTTAAAACTTCTGTCAAAGGCAAAGGTTTTTCATTGTGCCAGAAATGCAGTGATTTTTTTTTATGATCTTTGATCAGTTTTATATTACTTCTTAAACATCATGATTTTTCTATGATTTTTCTGTCCATATTTTCTGCCAATTACTTTTTTTTGTCTTAAGAGCAACTACTCTACATCCCATTTTAATCAATTTTAATCAATTTGTCAGATATTCATCACTTAAATTCTTCTTTCATAAAAATTTCATACAATTAGTTTTCACATTATAAACAGGTCTTTTACAGTCTGATGTTAAAACATACCTGTTTTTTCTGCCCTATACGATGAGCTCTAGCTTGAGCTTGTAGGTCATTCTGTGGGTTCCAATCACTATCAAATATTATCACAGTATCAGCAGTTGCCAAATTTACCCCAAGACCGCCAGCTCTTGTTGACAACAAGAAACAAAAATCCTAAAAGTATTCAATATTTTTTTCAATAAATAAATCCTGTGTATATTTTTAAAACAATGACTTATATTACAGAATTTAATGTGCAAATTATCATTTGGATATCCATTTAACACCTGTACACACTGTAGTAAAAATAAGCGAAAATCCAGACAAGAATTCTTAAATCTTGACTGCTTAACCGTCACAGTTAACCTAAAAATTAACTTGCTTGATTGGCTAGGTAATTCAATTATATTTAAAGGGTAATCTTTCTTGGGAGGAGAAAATTTGTGAGTTTTGCCAATGGAATAGTGTCTAATTTCTTCTTCCAAATCATTTATAGTAGAACTTCAGTTTTCAAGAACACCATGGACTACTATGTTACAATTCATTTACTGTGGAACATCAAATAGCTAGAAAAAATTCTAATGGTCCCTTTTATCAAGAAGTAGAAGTTCTATAGTTATTGGCATGGAAGTGACAAAACAAAATAATTTCTGAAGTCAACATAAATAAATATAACAGATTCAAATGGTCCTTTATCATATCATGAATAAGTTCTACTGTGATTGGTGAATAAAGAAGATTTCAAAAGCCTTACCGATGATCCCTCAGCATTAAAGTGGTCCAGGGCCTGCTTCCTTATGTCACTTCTTATCCCTCCATCCAACCTCTAAAACAAATAATAACACTCGCTCTAATACAGGTTCATTTATGTAAAAAAAAACTAACAGATGTGATTGTATATTTGTTGGTCACTTTTTTGATAGGAAATCTACATTTCATCTTTTATATCTCAACTGTCCAAAATTTATTCAATAATATAAAAAAAAACTTGATATTTTGCCTGATCTATCAAGGTATTGATAAATAACAGTGATATTGGAGAAACTTATTCTTGATAAGAATACTTTAGTATTTTTAAAAAATCCTCCTTCCCAATAGGCATCAGGAAAGATTCTTTGTGTATTTTCCATATTATAAATGTCAATATGACAATATGCCCTGGTCTACTCCTTCACATTATAGTCCTTATCAGTCACAATAAAAGCAAAACTACATTTCAACTGCAGAAAAATCTGACATAACACATACATGTGTTTCTTCAATGAAAAGATCGAATTTGGTAGAATGTGTTCTTATATCTAGGAATGGCATCATAACAATTCTATATATACAGGGTTCTCACTAAGGATTTTTTAAGGTGAGTCCTGGGACTCATCATTTTTGGCCATGGTGAGTCCAACAGTGAGAAGATGAAATTGTATTGCTATCTCTTTTATTATTTCAGTCCCCATGACAAAATAGAGCAAGGAAACGACATCAACTTTAGATTATTTTTAAACTTTTGTCATAAAATGATGATATCTGTGCTCAGTTTATACAACATTTTACAATCTTGATGCATCTTTGGACTCACCAGTTTTGAAAATGATGAGTCCAGATAGATTTTCATGAGTCCAGGACCCATGGACTCGCCTTAGTGAGAACCCTATATAATAGAACTACATGAAAGGACAAATAACTCCGACTATTGTTTTAAGTATTTCTACAAAAGGCTTGTATTTAACCAGCTTCCTGAAAAGGTTACCGTTAAGGTAAAACCAGAAATGCACTTCTGGCACAGGAAATTTTAAATGCGTTATTTTCATTAACTTGAATGTCTTCAACTTGTGCATGTGATATCACTTAAAACCCAACATGGAAGCCTTGGAATTTCTTGCAATATACATGGAAAACCGTCTAATAACATACCTGGAAAGCATAACGTTTCAATTGTAAATAATCACTAAGAATATCCAACATCCTAACCATCTGAGAAAATATTAGCACTCTATGTCCTGTCTCTTTCAGACGTGTCAATAATTTGTCTAACAGAATTAATTTCCCACTTCCTTTTATTAACGCTGTGAGTTTGTCCATGTTTTCATCTTCAGGTGGACGAGTCAGTGATGTGTGATTACAACATTTTTTAAGTTCCATTATGATATTTACAAAACTAGACGCATTTCCTTTCAGTCCTTTACTAAGTGCTTTATAGTTTTTTGTTAAAATCCATCTGAAACAGAGAATAAAATTACAAGTATTCATGTTCAATAACTTTAAAAGCAACAGTTGTTTCGGGTATAAATTTGTTTATCTTTGCTCTATTTAAAACATTCCCTTCTTCATTGTTGGAGACTAAATTATGACTGTTTGGATTAAAATTTGGATTAACTTTTGCTGTTGGATAACTGTCCGTAAATAATTTACTTATATGTAATATAAGTATTGCATATACAAACTGCCTTACCGAACATCTCCTTTCATTCATATTATTTTTTCTGACAGACCTCGTCAGTTTAGGCAGGAAAGAATCCCCCTATCTTAGTCTTAATGGATAGTTTTTTATTCTTTTAACATTTTGTATGCAACTTTTTACTTTGGCGTTTTTCTTATTGTCATATTTCAATTTTGTTGTGCTATTAACTTCATTTTTTTAAGTTACACTTTTCTAATAGAAGCACAGAAGCGTATTAACCCTTTCACCGATAGCCGCCCTGACAGAAGCTACTCCGAGACGATGGCTTCCCTAGCTATTGGGACACAAGTGGGAGATCTTCATATTAAATATCAGTTAAAATTGTCTGTAGTTATTTATGTCTTTATTTTATTTACTTGCACCATGGACACAGTTTTGTTCATGTTTTGATAATTTTTTGTCAGAAAAAAATCAAATTTGCCGATTTTCAGCATTAAAATTGATGAAATTCACAAAATTCGACTTTTTGACCCAATATCGTAAATTTTTAACCCAAAATGACAAAAAATTGAAAATTTTAACAAGGTTGTACATATTTCTTACACTGAACGATGTCCATTCCAAGTGTTTTTGTACATAAAACGGCATTTTATGTCAAAAAGTATACTAGTCTGATTCAATTCTTCTAAAGTCTTTCAAAAAAATTGTTCCCTTATTTCAAATTATAGTAAAATCTGTAAATTTCATTTGATTTTGACACGGTTTTCAACAAACGGAAGCGCCATATTTACTCTTTCATCCGGGCATTAAACAAAGAGACTGGTGTTCGGATTGTTTTTCAGCTGGAAATATAAAAGAGGTATTGCGAACCTGGTAAACCGGGACTCATCGTCAGCTGTCTGAAGCGTGAATTCCGGTAAACTGGGATTCGTCGGCTAAAGGGTTAACTTCATTTTTTAAAGTTACACTTTTCTAATAGAAGCATAGAAGCGTATCAACTTCATTTTTTAAAGTTACACCTATCTTATAGAAGCATAGAAGCGTATTAACTTCATTTTTTAAAATTACACTTTTCTAATAGAAGCATAGAAGCTTTGTATTGTTAAACTCACTTGTAATACTGTTTCTGTAAAGAAGACATTTCAACTCTAAGAATTTGTTCCGTCTGAAATAAAATAAAATACATGTATTTCAATAGACAATAATATGAAAAACTTCAATATCCATTATTGCTTTATTAATTAAGGATTTCATTCTATGTGATCTTGCTAAACCTAATTGACTATCCAATAATACACAACACCTGTCAAAAGTAAATGTTAGGAACTAGTGCAAATATAACAGTGAACAGCAAGCAAAGTTAAAACTAGACAAAGTGATCCCCCCGCACTCCACTCTGAAGTAACTGTATTATAACAAAAGTCAATGTAGGACTTTCTTCGAGATAGTATTGTCTGGGAGACACAAATGATGCCTTCGCAGATGCAAAATGTTATTTTAAAATACACAAAGTTGAGCATAGATCTATAGTTCACTGTAGGATGAGTTATCTGGAAACACTATGCACCTCTTACACAAGTATATACTCCAAAAATGACAAAGTTCAACTCTCTCCCAAAAGAGCAAATATTAATAAAAATGAAAACCCTGATCACATGCACACCTTCAATATATGTACAAACAGCCAGCAAAGCAAAAACTTCCTAGCATTTAAACTGAAGGAGGAGTTATCCGGAAAAGCAATGCACCATAATGGGATGGACGGAAGGACGAACGGACAGAAGGACAGACGGAAGGACGGCCAGGGGTAAAACAATATGCCCCCAATCTATTAGTTGCGGGGGGCATAAAAATTATACTCCCAAAACCAACATGAAGCAATGACAAAGTCCATGACTTTCCAACGGAAACTCAAAAAGGTTATTTTGATCAAAAAACAAAATAAGAGGTGCACAATGGCATTATATGGTTATGATTCTGAATAATTTTCATTTCATTCTATTAAGGGATTAAGAAGAGTTGTCGATACATTATAAGTACCCCTTAAGGCAAAGTCCCAAGAATAATTTATCAAAAAAACAAAACAGGGTATTTTGTATTGACTTATATGGTGAAGGTTCTGAGCATGTTTAATGTAATTCCAATTAAGGGTTTAGGAGAAGAAGCAAATACAAATGTGTATTGTTGTGTGCAGATATGACAAAGTCTATGTCATGCCAAAGTAAACCCCCAAAATCATTCAGATGGAGAAATGAAAAAGATGCAAAGGCACATCATTCTGTGAATGTTGCACAAAATTCTGTCATGCAGTTGTGATAGAAAAGTGGGACAGATGGACTCCATCCCAGACTCCCCAATGACCACCCACTCTTACACAGGGGATATAATAAATACCAATAAAAGCATACTATCTCAGCTGTTATCTTTGAGGATATAGACTGGTGATGGCTATACAAGAAACGCCTGTCTAGATGGTGTGCCAATATCATAGCAAATAATCTTTAATATACCTTTGAAGGGAGAGATTTCTCAACATCTTTCTTGACTCTACGTAACAGGTAAGGTTCTAGTTGTTTGTGAAGTCCTGCAAATCCCATTTTTTCTTGCGATGAATATTTCTCTTCAAAATCTGGCCAATTATCAAATCTGCTCAAAATAAATTTCAAAAGCTACTTTATTCTGAACAGTTGCAAACTTGAGTTTCAAATGAAGTATTTACAATGTGATAAATACAGATTAATCTTATTTACACTGACTGCAGGAGATATACTGTAGATTCGGTTTTGATCCTGAGGTACTAATTTTCCTTATTAAAGGTTAACCAAGAATTCATTTTTCCTGTTATCAAAAGGGAATTATTTAGACGGATATAACAAATTAATATGTTTCTTCACACTTTCACGATTTACAAAAATGTATTAACCTTCCGTGCATCATTTACAATAACTATGGCAAATAACCTATACTTACTTTTGAGGCATAATGAAATGGAGCAGAGCCCACAGCTCTTTCAGTGAGTTCTGTAAAGGGGTACCAGTGATGAGAAGTCGGTGGTTTGTGTTAAATTCAAACAAAGATTTATAAAGAAGTGAATCATCATTCTTCAGTCTGTGGGCTTCATCTACCATCAATGCAGCCCATGAAACCCCTCCTAAAAATGACTGAAAAAACAAACAGACACTAATTTAAAGCATTTTCCCCTTGTTCACCTGCCCATTGTTCCTCCATTGGAATTTGATAAAAATTTCTTTGCTATGAATTTCTTGTATACATGACTTGTTGACATAAGAAAAAGCATATTTGTAAATGATTCAGACGTTTGTGTTTTGATTGACCTATACCATCTTGCTTCTGAGAATATGTGTGGCATAGATGTCCCCCTGGCACTTTCAAAGATTTGTTATCAATCCTAGTACTGTCAATGAAAATGAAATTAAGTTATGTTGTGTCATTGAACTAATAATCCTATGCATACTAGATATTTTTTCGTTTAGTACAATGCAGGTCCTTTTATTACAGAATCTGAAAATAGGGGTTGTTCCAGAAATTACCAAAATGAGGGTCATGAAACATATATTTCATGTTGTAGGATATTCCTCAGGTTGAGGTACAAGAATATTACATGACAATCAATTAAGTTTTATGCATAAGGGGGTCTACAATATGAACTGGCTCCCCAACTCCTGTCATTAGCACAATTATTTCTTGCCTAAGGTTACCAAAAAACAGATTTACTAGTCACATTTAGTCCTACCAATACAATATCTAGAATACCTAATCTTTAATCTTTAAGAATGTTATACCTCTTTGGTGATTTTTCAAGTTCGATGTTTGTGGTAATGATACTTTAATTTGCTGTAAGTAGCTGCATTGACTATTTCTGTTTTAGTGTAAATCAGGAACATATATATTCACGGGACTTGACTCTACCTAATTGTAGCCGATTTTATCGTCGGGTCATAGTTAATAAAGACGCGATATGGATACGGACATGTGTTAAAAGCGTACTCCCTATTATCCTAATAAATTCTGATAATATCAATAAAATGTCATACAAACTAAGTAATAAGTGATGCCAGTGTATCGAACTTGTAATCGTGTCACTTCAAATTTGTTATAATCGCATTCATTTCATCACAGAAGGGTACAGAATGCAAACAGGGTAATAAAAAAATGGCGTCGATTGCATTCCCATATTCACAAACCATTATCAAACATTTCACATCAAATAAATCACACTTATTTTGGTCATTTTATATGAAAAAATATATCAACTTTATGATAAAACGATTAGAATTATGTGGTTAATTTATTGAGCAGTTCCGATAGTTTTTCAAAAATCGCTACCAAAATCCATAAATCTCACGAAGTCTCGTAAAGTTCGAGATTTTATCAATTTTATACTGAAAAGCCTATCAGATTCATTTCCCGTTAGATATACTGTTCCCAGTGTAAATGAACTTACTTAAATAATTTTATCCATACCTTGTCTTTAAGTAAGATTTCATACGTTGTAAGGATAACATTGAACTTTAACCGTTTATTTCCACCATGCTGCCATTCGTACTCTCTTATCTGAAAGAAAAAAAAGTGAATATTCTATGCAGTGAAGTCCATCTAAATTGAATCTTTTTTGGACTAAACGTAGTGTCTGGATTAGAATGCCCATGGCCTGTAGAATGATGGAAGGGCCGTTTATTTTGTGAACAGTGGGTCATCTGTTATAAGACATGTAACTCAAAACACACACTCATGAACCAAATATCAGCTCATTATCTCCAAGTCCAAGCGATATAAATCTGCGAATAAGAAACCATAAAAATGCAAATCTGCGAATAAGAAACCATAAAAATGCAAACTGGATATATAACTCATCATTATATACTTTAAACAAATAAACAGCTGCATCGAGTTAGACAATATTATGCAGATTTTTTTATATGGAAGTTTTAGCAATAAATCAATAAAATTGTGAAGAGAAAATTTTAACCACACCACATTCTGTATGTACCTGAGCATGTTTTTGAGTGTGTCGTTTGTTGCTGTTTATCATATTTGTTTTTGTAAATTGTTTTGTGCAGTTTGTTTTTATATTGTTCTATTGAACCACTGTCCAAGGTTTAGGGGGAGGGTTGGGCACTTACTATCATGCTTATTAACCATGCCACATTCTGTATGTGCCTGTCCCAAGTCTGGAGCCTATACTTAGTGGATGTCATTGTTTTTAGTATATAGTTAGGTACATAAATCAGGCAGTAAATTTTTTTCGTTTGAATCGCTTTACATTTTGTCAATTTGGGGCCTTTTATAGCTTGCTATGCCGCATGGGTTTTGCTCATTTGTCTCTGGGGGAGAGTTGTCTCATTTGCAATCATACAACATCTTCTTACTTTTATATTCACATCAGCTTTCTCATTAATAAATCATGCAGTTCATTAATAAAAACTTTAGGAGCAGTTAACTTACCATATTACGACTAGAAATATCTCCAAGGTAAGTGACCACATTCATCTCCGGTCCCCAATTTCTGAACTCTCTTTGCCATGCCACTAATGTAGACAAAGGTACTACTATTAAGAAAGGTCCATACAACTGATAATAAGTATACATTATCTGTAGAAATGATATGGTCTGAATAGTTTTCCCTAGTCCCATTTCATCTGCTAATATGGAAGAATTATACCTGAAAATAAAGTAAAGAATTTTTCAAGATCATCAATTACAGTCAAACACTTTGTTGTTGTCTAGTTTTAACATATATACCAAAGAACAAATTAAAAATGATTTGACCCACTTACATTAAATCAAATTTGAAATAAACAGAAAAGCAGGCAAATTGTAAAAAAAGATGAAATGTAGTTGATCAATTTTAGCAATTGTGATCACAATGATGGAACACACTTACAAAAGTTTTGGTTCCAGAAAACCAATTCACTTGATAAAACTTCATGGTACAGGGTTCATAGGCCTGTATACATAATTGCTATAAAAAATGTATTTCTTCTTAAGGATTTAAAAAAAATCTTTTTCAGCAACATTTTTTATCATACTCAATATTATTTTCACTATTCCAGGTAGAAGCCCCATGACAATGGGTGAAATTAAATAAAGGTAACTGGACAGTCATGTTTTTTTTTAATGAACTACAGCTTAAAGGTTGGACAATTTATTTTACAAGTAATAGACCCCTTCTAAAGCAAATGGTAGGATCAATCACCAGAAAGATAGTATTTGCCTAGTTAAAGGTATGAATGTAGTTTACACTTATTTGGTTAAATTCAAATTTGCACTGACTCAAAGTACATCACACTAAAATATATGAAATGTCATTAGTGTTGGTGGGTTGCTGTTTCATTGATGGAATGACCCACATCTCTCATTCATTCATATTGTCTAAATGGAAGAATTTCAGCACTGAACATTAGACATGGGAGTAGTTTACAGATTACATAGGGCTATTCCAGAATTAAATTGCGGGTAACATGGGAGGCACTTTATTAAGACCAGGACTACCAATAAAATACAAATTTCCATTTTACTTATAATTCTTACAAAACTGTAAGGAAAATGCTACACCCAAATTGAATCAATTTCAGTGACTCCCACCCCCCGCCCAATAAATTTGGGAACATAGCAACAATTTTCAATATACTGATACACCAGTTCGTTTTACACAAGTTACCTCTTCACACAGTATTTGGTTTACAGTTTTGTCTGAACTTACTTTGACCAAGCATGCATCAACCAATTAACTCCTTCTAATTGATAATCTCGTAAATCTAAATTATCCACTCCACCAATACATGATGGCTGGTCTTTAAATGGCTGATACTTTGGTCTGTACTTTAAACACTACAACAACAAAAACATGCAATATATTTTTTATAATTCTTTTATATTTCTCTAATATATTTAATTAATCTGCTCGTCAAAGTTTTTTATGACAACAGATTTTTCTCATTACTACAAACATTTTAACTATTTATAATGACTTCTTACTCATGAAAAACATGAACATCAAGCAAAATACTAATATGAACGTAACTAAATAATAATTTGTATCTTTCAACATATATAAAGTTTACCATTTCGCTAATTACAGCTTTCCTATTTGAGAATGTAAAAAGTACAAAGAATTTAGATTTCTTCATTTTTTTGGTGGTCCATGAAACAGTATTAGCTTTGTTTACTACCAATTGTTGGCATTAGAACTGTCATGATTAGCAAACCAATTCATGCAAAATGATGCATATAAAAGCATTGAAACAAGTTGGTTTCTATACTTATCATATCTACAAAACAATTCATAATCTACCTAGTAAATAATAGAACTAAAATGATTTAGCTACTGTGGATTCATTTTAATTCGTGGGATACCAATTTTCGTGGATTTTGTGGGTCAAGTTACACCAAGAATTAAAATGTTCAACAATGAACACATTTTTTTAAAGGGTTGTATACAGACTGACAAATCGATGAAAATATAAGTTTTTCTAAATCCACCAAAATAAATGCATCCACAGTTGACTGAATCTGCATGAACAAGATGACAGAACTTACTTTGGTTAACTTTGATGGAGTTTTCTGAGACTTGTTTCTGGCATGATATTCATCAATAACGGATTGAAATCTACGAGCCAATAGTTCACCATCCTCCCATGTACAGTCTGAGTATGGTAACCCCTGCCATTTCACAAAGTAGTCAGGGTAACCATTGTTCTCATTGGCCATTTTCTGATTGGAATGAGCTACAATAGGCAAATTTATACTTCACACATGAATATTAAACATCTTTATCAGCTTTTGAAATCACTATGGACACAGATTAGATATATTTAAGCTTGCTGTATATGTTAAAATATCATATTCCCCAATGTGTAAATCAGATTCAAAAGACTATTGCTGATGAGGCAAATGATTTATTTCAATAGAAGTCCACTACATACAGTAAACATGGATATTTCACAGGTTATTTTCTATATTTCAATGCATAAACTTTTCGTCCAGAGGTTAAATGCATGCAAGTTTGTCCTTCATACCAATAGTTTTCCTTCTACAACCTTGACTTTATTGCTTATAGTTCAGATGCAAAATAGTAACCCTAATACCACATCAAATTTAGTTAGATGCTTAAGGTATCTTTATCTTATTGAAAATATTGGTAATAGTTTTACCTGTAAATAACATATTTGATATTTTATAAGTACATTCTGGGACCTTGGTTAATATCCTATTATTTTCATTCAGTTTATTGTTACATTCATTCTTTTCCTCTTGTTTTTAAATCTATCTTGATTTAGTAAATTCCGGGACCTTGGTTAATGTCCTATTGTTTTCATTCAGTTTATTGTAACATGCATCCTTTTCATTGTTTTCAAATCTATCTTGATTATCAGACAAACAGACTATTTATTGAACATTTTATTACCAATGATTCTCTCTGCATTAATGTATTGTTCATATAAATCTTCCATCATTTCCTTCTGTAGTTCATAATATTCTACGTCCTCAGGAGAAGCTGCTCTCTTCCTAGAAAAATGGAAAGTAGACTCTTTTAATGTTTATATTCTTTTCCTCTTATATGAAAAAAGCTTAAATATGTTGTGTTTTGTCTGTAAAGTAGTTGATTAAGAATTCATTTTTTAAACAACGTAGTCTATTCTTCCCAAATTCTGATGAAACTATATTTGCTAATGACCAGTATCTATTAGCTTATGCAATGTTTGAAATTCGGTAAATGTCAGATTACTATAAGATTTTAATAGGACAGTAAAACAAATATATTACATTATTTTTTTATAGGTGAATAAATTCTTCATTATCTCCCTTAGTCCACAAATTGGTATTTGTTCCATACTTTAAGTAACCAAAACACATTTGAAATTAAATTGTCATTACTTCTAGAAAAATTGTTTTCTTTCTCACTGACAAAAAGATTATTTTTGTTTCAAAATTGTCATATCTAAGACAGCACAGATCATATAAAAATTCTGAAGTTTTTCTTACCAATCATTGATTTCATTTAAATTTTTCAGATAATTTTCTAATTTCTTCAATCCATTAACTTTTTGTTCTTTGAGATTTTCATAAGTTTCCCAAGTATTGTGAATATTTGCCCAGTTCTTCCATTTGATAAGAAACTGCTGTTCAACTTCATTGATGCTAGGATCACAGCCATCATTTGGATCACCATTCTCCAATACATTGTATATGGTTGTTCTGCTTCCAGTTGCTATGGACATACAATTTGTAAAATTCAAATACTGTTTCTTTTATATCAATAAAGAGTTAATCTACACATTTATACTTAATATCCCAAAGTATCAAAATCCTTTCAACATGTTAAGGAAATTTTGTTTTTTCCAAGAAATACCAGTATGTTTAATTTCATAAAAGAATATGCAATTTTATGTTTCCTTCATTTCATCAAACAATGCAGAGTTTTAATTTTCAGTGCAGAGAAACCTGAAATTTTAACATGCTTCAAAATTGAACTGTACTTCTGTATATATCTTGTACACATGTCTTGTCAGAATGAAGAAATTGTATTACTGATACAAACTTATTTTTGCTGATTCATTTAACTGCATTCAGCACTTTCTAGCCAACTTATGTGATAATCTTATTTTGCATGCATTTTCAACTTTTTGGCAAAGATTTATATTTGAGCTATATTTCTACCAATAGTCGCATACACAAATTTCCATGTAGGAAATTTGTTGATTTACAATATGTGTCATACTGGAATTGAGTTCTCATATATCGAACTTGAGTTTTATTTTTTACATATTTTCCATGTTATGCATTGGTTTGCCTTTTTTTTTTGTGACTGCCTATGGTAGCTAAATGTCCAGTGTAAAAATGTATGTTGCACATACATGTATAATGTATGTTGCACATACATGTATACAGAAGTCTCCTTAGGTCTGTACATTTTGTGATATCATATGATCAGCAATAATCACGTATTTCCACTACAATGCACACTTTGATACATATTTCTCAAGTTTTTGTGTCATTTTGTCTTTTTTATTTACCTTCTCTATTTTGCACATTTAACCCACACCGTGTTAGCCATGTATACTTTTCTACATTGTAAGTTATACATGTTCAACTGTTCTACTTGCTAAATGGGTATCTCACCTAATTTCTTTCCCATTCTTGTTTTATAAACTCTTTCAACAGTCTCTCTATTTTCAGCTTCAGCATCCTCTTCTTCTTGTGCAACTTCTACAATATCATCAGAATCTGTCACATCGTCCGATTCTTCCTTGTAACTGAAGACAGATCAATAATTTTTACTAATTCATACCTCTGCCAATTTACCACGAAAAATCATCAAGGATATGCTCACATAAAAAAATCAAGGACTATTTATAAAGCATATCCTGTCACAGAATAAAGACACTGAAGTCTTTCTTTCTACAGATACCACATCTGAGAACTAGAAATGTGTGAGTTATAATCTTATATTCGGTGTACTTTTTGGGCTTTAATTTATAATTAGAATATTCATATTCTATTTTACATGTGCTTGGTTTTATATGCATTTACTGTTAACACATGGAATGGCATAACTGATAGCACAATTATAAATTTTGGGTTTAAATTATTATTTAATGTAATAATGAGAATATCAACCTCCTCATAAAGCATTTGTTTATATTTTAAGTGATTGCAATATAGCAGCACACTGTATACTATAAGCAAGTATGGTGTTTCCAATTTACAGTCATATAAATTGGTTATAATAGTGTAGATATGGCAAAATATGTAAAACTGAGGTCATAAAGTTACAAAATCAAATTAAAAACTGAATGCAGTAATGGGGGTGTAATAAATTAAAGCATAAAATGACAGATACATTTATTGCCATAAACAATAATATCTGAATATTTAATTGCAATGAGGGTCTTAAAAAGTCAAATGCAACAGGTTTCCAAAGTGCATTAACTGCCTTTGCATAAGTTAAGCCAAGGAAGGATACTTTTGTTTGAGAAAATAGTGCAGGAAAATTTATGAAATTCTAAAGAAAAGCAACCTCCCTAAAGCTTAACAAAGGCAACATGCATAATAATAATAAATTTAGTAAACTGGAGCTTGAAGGCGTCTTTATCCCCCTTCTGGCCTTTAAGCTCAACTTTTACTAAATAAGGGAAAAGCAAATATAAGAAAGTAGGCAAAATCAGTTAAGCAATGTTTAGCTTTACCCCCGCACAATCCACCCATTTCCAAAGTTACATTTTGAATATGTTTGAAAATTGTAGCATATGACTTTTTGTGTTGATAAAAGTGCTAGCACAGAGAAATAAACTAAAACTCACTAAAATAACAATTAAAATGGAGTATTGATTAAACAGCGAAAGTTTTTCCAAGATTTTGACACAAGGTGAGAATCAAGGTATCACTTTTATCTTTGAAAACCATAAAAACTTACTATATTTCGTATTGCTTGAATGCTTTCCACAGAAAACTTAAAAGAGTTTCTTATGGAAGTACATCTCTTTCACTGTTAAACGTATTGCACACTTAGAAAAACTTACACATGAAGCAAAATATTAAACAAAATTCACAACTAAAATAATGTTAGTCCTGCAAAGCTTTCTTAGATAAGTAAAATAAAATCTGAAATAACATAAGCATTATGTTTTAACTGTAAGAGATTTGAAAATATCCCTTACCAGACCCCTCTCCTGGACTGTTTCCTCCTATAAGATCTATAACGAGGCTTTTGCCTGTAATTTTACAATAATGCAACAATTTATATTAAAATGGAGAGACAATGAGACAGCTCCTATCAAAGATTGCAGGTAAACAAAGGGGACATCTCAAAGCCCTTATACTTTGCCTTAAACATAGAATATTTTTTTTGTGTTTATAAATTTTACACTGCCAAGTGGTCTCTTGTATATTCATGCATTGGGAAGGTTCTTGAAAATGAATTTATTTCAATTTATTTTTTGTATCAACTGAAGGCCCAGCTGAACATGTACTGATATATGCCCATTTCTAAGCAGCTTAGGTTTGTTACTTATATATTAACAGTTTTTAATGGAAACCATATAGTTGAAATACTGTAGTACTGTGGAGCCTCATGACCCATATAAAGGATTTTTATGTAGGGTCATAGTTCAGAGCATAATTATTTTGTTATTGAGTACTGTTTAGACTGTACCAAAGTAAAGATTTGACTTCACATTGTCCAAAGAACTTCTGCATTTAAGGGTTAACAAGTAAAAATATCAAGGAACTCCGTTCTATTATATCACAAAAATATCATGGAACCCCGTTCTATTATATCACAAAAATATCAAGGAACCTCATTCTATTATGTCAAAAAAATATCAAGGAACCCAGTTCTATTATATCACAACAATATCAAGGAACCCAGTTCTATTATATCACAACAATATCAAGGAACCCTGTTCTATTATATCACAAAAATATCAAGGAACCCCATTCTATTATATCACAAAAATATCAGATATTTTAAAATTCATGTTTCCTTAATTTTGAATTCAATAGAAATGTTGTATCTGACAGGAAGGTCAAACCTGCAGCAGGGTAAAGTTTTTTTTAATGTGTTACCCACAAATGAATTATTAATTTCCATATTGTTTAAGATAAATCTATCTGTTGGTTTTACTTATTTGTTTTCATATAAAAGCAAAACACTTGCAGTAAGAGTTCATGGCTTGACCAGGGCTTCCAAAACGGTCATATATTCCGGACTTGACCGAAACTTTCATAAAAAGTCTGGCTGCTCTCAGCCTCAAACGGTCAAATAGAATTGGTTTGCCACTTTTTGTTATTCAAGGCATTTTCATAAAACGGTCATTTCAATTTTTACCAACTATCGATCGATAAAAATGTCCGTTTGGGGCTTTGGTCATGTCCGTTTGAGCATTTTAGTTTATAATTGTGGCAATCTATTTCACAGAGATATTTCGGTCATAATTGGGTTTAATAAAACAGATGCAGCATATTTCAGATACTTTGAAGTGTCTCAGTTAGTCTAATCCTCTGGGTACATAAATGTACCGCTTGGTCTTTAGCTTGTGTACATCAATAAAAAGTAGAAAAAACATGTTTTCTTTTATTTAAATAACAACAAGCTGTCAAACATTTATCCCTTCAATAAGGTATATTGAAGCCATAAATCATTCACTGATTACAGGTTTGTAACCTTTGATGAGGTGTCCTTAGCTTGTCTTTATCAATAGAATTAACGATGCATAACACTGTACATAAAGGTGATCAGGTAAACGAGGTCAAACATGTAAGCATGTATGGAACAACATCCTATTTAATTACGCTTTATAGATATTATTTTAAATGAGCATTCAGTTTAAAAAAGTATCCTGATATTTAAAAGTTATTCTTCAAATAAGGATATTTATAAATGAATAAGTATGATATATATTATTTTATTTAACACTGTACATCTGTTAAATAGTGGGGTACTCTAAAGGGGAAAATTTATTGAAATATATAGGAAAAACACCGAGAATAGCTGAGTTGTCCAATAAATAAGGGGGGCGTTCTCTATTCTTGTTTTCATATTAAAAACTGTTTTTATAATTGAAATCATAAAGAAGAATATCCAATCATGACAATCTCCGACTGTTATAAAGACTTTGTCTCAAATTGAACTTTACAAATCTGCCATCATGGGCAAACGTAAACGTGACGATTCCGATCAAAATTCGAAATCTGCTAAAAATGCTAGAAGCTTTATTCATAAATGGTTACAACTGTTTTTATGGTTAAGATTTGACAAAAACATAAACTTAAAAATAACTTTTCGAAAGTCAGCCGTTGTAGAGCATGCTAATAGCAATGACCACGTTCAAGCTCTTAAATTAGAGACAGCTTCCAAAAGTAATCCAATTGTATCAGTATTTGAGAAAGTTCATGAAAAGACTGACAACGCAATGTGCACCTTGTTCCGTAATGCTTACTTTATTGCTGAATAAAATTTACCAATGGACAAATTTCAGTCAATAAATGATTTAACTAAGTTAAATGGTGCCGTGATCACTTCTAAATTACATCAAGAGAACAATGCCTGCTCCGAATTTATTCAGACAATTTCCCATATTATAGAGAAAGAGGTGATGTCCGACGTAAAGTTAAGTCCCGCCGTGGGAATCAACTGATCTGGCTACGCAAAAACATTTAATTTTGTACTTATCATACCTCAAAGCTGGTGAACTGAAAATTAGTTTAAATTATTTATCAACTGAGTATGTTTTTATTTATTCTTCTTATTTTCTAAATCAGGTTGGGAAATTGTACAAAGAAAAATGTTATTACTGTTCAGTAGATTTTACACGGTTTAAAACAATATCCTTCATTGGGCCTCCTCAATGTTATCTATAAATACTGCATCAGTTGTAAAAGTCACTGGTCAGGTAATCAATACACAAAAAGAAAAGTATCACGTGTATTGATGATCAAGTTGACTTGTACTGCAATTAAAGCCAACATCAACAGTTTCAAATAAGATACCCTTAATTTACAAAGTGTTAAGTACTCACAGAGAGAAGATAGATTATATAAACAGAAACAAAAAACATGAGAACAGTCAGGTACTGAGGCTGATTGATGCATTGATGGTTACTGTATTACGATACACAGAAAAATGACACAATACCGAGGATAATATTTTATTTATTTTTAGAATGAAGAAAACAAAACAGTTATAAATAATTTTATTGCATATAACACTACTAATTATTTAGACACATATATCAATTTATGCATCCTCTCAGTTACATTTAAGTATCCAGCTGATCATTGACCGTCAAAATATTTCTTTGAAAAATGTCCGGCTGTCGTCAGGAAATTTTGGAAGCCCTGGGCTTGACTGAACATGCAAAATTCAAAGAAATTGGAAATTGACAAAATTACATACATGACAAATGAAACCTTAATATATTGACCTCCTGAACATTAGAAAATTCTTATTTGAGCAAGTCCTGTTAAAAACTAGGTGTTTACTGCCAATTGATAGTGATCAGCTAGTTTATTATTAATCATTCAGTACAAAATGCTCCTTTTTTAAAACTATCATCAGGACTTCCTGTATAGTGAAACATTCTCAACCTAAAAGGATGTCTATTGAACTCTATAATCAGGACATTTTAAAACACCAGCCTAACCTGAAAATATTCCATCCCAAATGTGTTTGGCTTATACAGGTTTCATTGTATATGAAAGATACAGCTGACAAATGTATCCACTAGTCACAATAAAGATGTCTCCTGTAAATTATTATTTCGATTTTTATCAAGTGCCCTTTAGACTGAAAAAAACATTTCTATCTTCTGTGTAGCTATAAAACATACTGAACAATTAGCAAGTTTTAAAGTTTTGTTCCTTACTTCTCAAAAAACTATATAACTTATATTCTATACAAGTATCTTAACAGAAGTAAAAACAGAAATTTTCACAAACAGTTCTCAGTCATTATCAACCAAAAGAATTTAAGTTACTGCCCAATTTCTAATCAATACCTGACTTTCTTGGAGGCGTTTCTGGTCTCAAATTTCCTAGCATCATCCTCACTCCACGAATCAGAATCAGACAGATGTCCTGTCTTGGGTCTTCCTGCAGATTTTGTCTTCCCAGATTTACCAGAACGTCTTCCCTTTACTGCTCTTCTAACTGGTCTGTAGAAATATACATCTCTAATTTTATTTAATAATAAAATAGAAATTGTATTAATTATACTGACAGACAATACTCTAATAAATTCACAACTGATAATGTAAGAACAATATGTCATTCAATTTGTTTACATTAAAGTAATATAATTGTTGACCATTCATTTGTTTACGTTACTTTACTTCTTGGATATTTGTAGTTTTGATTTAGCAATTGCTGATTATTTTTTTTTCTAACAACACACATAGAATACGCCCGAAGGTAAAAGTACAGTTAATCAATACTACTCACCTAGACTGAACGGCTCTTGGAGGATGATAATCTTCACTTCCACTACTGCTTTCATTACTACCGCCACTCTCATTCCAATCACCAGAACTTCAAATTACAAGAAAAAATACATTATTTCAAAGTATCAGTTTGTCCTGTTTCTGTATATTTAGACATGCATGCGCGGTTTTTATAGGTTTAGTATAGCAACAAAAAAAAAGTTGCATCCTATTTCCTGATAGCATTATCTTTATGGAGCATTACCAGAAATATATTAATTGATTGGTGTTTAACACCACTTTCAGTACTATTGGGTATTTCGTGGTGGTCATTCTTTTATTGGTGGAGGAAGCCAGAGTGCCTGGAGAGAACCACTGACATTCAGTAGGAAAACTGACTCTCCTAGTAAATTACGATTGATGTTGAATGCACCTGCAATGTTCGGGGTTCGAAATCCCAACATCAGTGTTGACAGGCTAGGGATACAGAAATTGGAGTACTTAGACCACTCGGCCACCAAGGCCCCTTGAAATCGTAATACTATTAATCTCCCATTATGTCCATTGTTCAACAACCAATAATAAATGGAAACACAAATTTCAGAATTTACAGTATTTCAAGTGGATATTGTTGTAAAAAAAACATATACATGCAAGATGGAAAGCACTTATTATATTAATTAATTATCAGATGGCACATTTACTTGGTGGTTGATCAAATATTTTATTTTATCTTTACATTAATTTTCATCTGATTAATTTCTGTTGATCTTCAAATCTAATCTTTCAGACAACAACAATCATAGGTACATATGGAACAAATGGCATAGCAGAGATGTTTGTAATGTAAGAAACCAACTCTTCCTTTTAGAAAATTTTTCCTACTACAACTTTCCACTGAACAACCTTTTTTTTAAAACAATTTGTGTTTATTTCTTACATGCTTATGTTTTATTTCGATGTTATCAGGGGCAGATCCAGCCATTTATAAATGGGGGGGGTTCCTAACCCAGGATAAAGGGGGGGGGGGGGGGGGTTTCCAACTATATGTCCCCATTCAAATGCATTGATCGTAAAAAAAAAGGGGGGTTCCATCCCCCGGAACCCCCCATCATCCGCCACTGGTTATATCTTAAAAATTTTTGCTTGCGTTTCTCTAGGAATAGTTTAAACAACAGCTAGTAAGGTTTAGAGATATGGCCAATGATGGAATTCAACTATTTAAAACCTACTTTTTCCTCCTTCTCCCTTTCCGGCTTCTAGGCTCACTCTCCTCATCAGAGTCCTGTAATGAAAGTACTTTTTATGAATATCATTCAGGACCGTACATTGGAAATGAAAGGATATTTGGTGAATGTACATGGAACAATACTACAATGAAATATTGTGAAAAAATCAATATATCAAACGAACTTTTATTGCTGTTCCTCATCTTGACAATTGCTGAAAGGAGATTAGGATGAACTACATATTCACACATAACAGCATGATCATTAACAGCTCATTGCATTGACTTATGTATTCATGAAGATTGTTGTACTACCAGTATATACTATATACTAACACGGCTGAATATATTCAAGTTTTTAAGATTTCCCGTTATTTCAAATATACAGTTTAAGTAAGTTTACGTTGAACGTCCCCTTTTCACAGAAGTATGTACTACTTAAAACCAGTTTTGTGTAACTTTATTGTCTTGTCTATCATATGACCATAAATAACAAAAATCTAGTGGTCAACTTCTTTATATGAATCACAAGTCTACAATATCCATATCTTAAAGACCACTTCACCATATAGCTGCCCTAAAATGATCTGGAAAAACAAATTCTGACATACCTGTGCATTGTATCGCACTGGTTCCTGCCTCTGTCTACCAGATCTACGTAGACCAAACAAATCAGGATTTTCTCTTAAGATCTAAATAAGAAAAAGGTTTAACATACATGAATGAGTGCCAAATCAACAGCTTAAAAAATATATATAATTGAATCCAGGTTTAATAAGTTAAGTATGGGATTCAAATTGCAGTTCACTAATCAAGTTTCCATCTATTAAAAGCAATTTTTTTTTCAAATAAAGGCTGTTTTTTCTGTTGGTTTTTTGGTTCCATAAAAGTTCTCCTAGAGAATGATTCATCAATTAAGTATGTTATCGATGTTTACTAAACATAAACCAGATCTTTAACATGTCTATTCACAGGCAACAAATGCTTGCAGAAAGACATGGTAACATAGCAGCAAACATTAGGATATCTGGCCTATCAGTCTTAGCATTTAATTCTAATATCTAACTAGGAAAGGGAGAAACCATAAACAACACTTTCAACGTATCATGTTACTAACCTTCTGTCTCATTTTTGGTATTTTAAACCTGTAGTTTTAGTTTCAAGCCAAATTTGTGCAAAAAATTCTGTAGTTCGAAACACCTTTCTTGTAGTAAGATTGATCAAATGTTAGCAGATTTACAATACTTTAAATTTTGTTGTCTTGCTAGTCCATAGACAATGCACTATGAACAGCATATCAATTTAGAAATTAAGAAATGTATAGAACCATTAAAGCCAAACATATACACTTACATGAAAAATAAAATTTTATTGTTCGATTGGTATATCAAATCAGGCCTATAAGAGCTTACAAGAAAAAACATCAAATTGAAATTTGAATCCTTTTGGTTTGAACCCACAACCAACAACCCAAAACAAGGTTTTCCACTTTTCAATTACTTACTTCTTTAAGTTCAGTGTTGCTCTGTCGATGAGGCCTTCCTCTTTTCCCAGGACTACTCTGCTGAGAGTCAGTATCGTAAGGCATAGGGACATCTTGTCTATCATTATGCCCATTGTGATTGTCTGATTCACTCTCAGATTTAGAATTACTCTCAGAACTACTTCCTGATTCCGATGAGGAGTCAGATTTACTGGAGCCAGATCCAGACTCTGAACCTGATTCACTTTAATAAATGGATAAAACAAGATGAAAACATCAACATCGTTCATGTTCAATTTGCATATTTATCCAAATTCATATCCCTTAATTTTGCTATATGTGTCAAATGAATTATTATTTTTTGGAAGCATCTTTTTTTTCTGATTTTTTGAAGATCATTTATTTATTTCAGTGATAGAGGTAGAAGATGAAAAATATTGTATTAGGTTTTTGATTTCCAGCTCATCCGAAGGAATTGACAAATCAGTTCATTCTACTGCTCCTTAAGGAATGCATCCTCATCATGCAATATCTTGGAGGTTTCAGCGTCAGAAAAAAGTAACCAGACAATATACGGCTACTTCACCAAAGTCATTGAAGCATGTCAGTTAATGAAATGCCAGTGAAAATTACCTTGAATTGTTTCCAGATCCAGAAGCACTTTTGTCTTCTCCAGACTCAGAGCTGTAAGTCAGCTTTGAACTTTTATCAGGTCTTCCAAACAAAGGTTTACTAAAGTCATCATCAAGATCACCCTACAAAATATCATTGCATTCAAATTCAAAATGAACAAAAAGAGATATTAAGTCAGAATAATTGATTCGTTAAGGGTTCCCCCCTCCCCCACCCCTCAAAGACCAAACACACCTAAAAATACAGAAATATTTCAAAACGTTCCACTGCATTTCATGGTTGATTGGGTAATGATAAGGTTAGTTTAAGTCTTGTAAATAATTGGTCAACTATATTAGATATTTAAAATAATTGTAAGAAGTAAATTGTTCATCTGATATACAAGTACACCTAATTTTAATTGTAGGTGTAAGGCTTTCATGATGGAATCAATTCCTTAGATAAGTATGTATATACTATAAGTGTTGATTCAGCTATATTTGGTGTATTTAATGATTGAAAAATGTGACATGATGTGTTAGGAGTACATATTCAGGTCCATTTGAACTTGACTTCAATTTAAGATTTTTTAGAATCTTTCATTTAAATTTTTTGTGAGATTGTTTTTTAGGTAGATGTTGTGGCTTTTTAAAATATCGACAGCAATGCTGGTCATTTTGCAACCATATATGACATTTACAACTTGAACACTCAAAGGACGATGTTTGGTCCATAAATTAAGTCATTATTTTCAGGACTTATTTTAAAAATTACTGCTTACTCCCAATTAGTTCATTAGCTGTCAAATTCATGTACAAAGATTCAACTCAAAATCTCATATTTTATTTATAACATACTAAAACGTATATCCACATTACATAAAAGTCCTAAAGAAACAATTTACAATGCATGGCCTCATTATAATGAATCAACATTTTGTGTCCATTTTAGAATAGACACCATCTAATTAATCATCAAAATGATGATATCCAAAGAATTCCATAGGTCATATGACCTCATGTAAACATAAATATAAATACATAGGCAAGCATGTGCAATCGTAAAAAGACAATTTTTTTTAGGTCTGTTTGATTTCATGTCATAGATTAAAAAAAAAATGTAAATCATTGTTTTACCTGTATTTGAATGTTTTTTTTGTGGGCAAAATTGGTAAATGGTAATTAAGAAAAGGGATCTTCCTGGTGGCTGCCATATTTCACAATTCAATGTTGACTTTGTTTTCTTTTTAATAATATAACTAAATCCCAATTGAGGGTTAAATTGAAGTTTGCATGAAAACATAAAATTATTGACTTGCTAGTAAATAATACATCCGATGTTTCTTTTTTAGCTTGTTTTGAAAAAATTGAACCTAAACCTACTGCTAATAGCAAAATAATATTTCACAATTCTGCTTTTATAAATGTTTGAAACAAAAAAATCATATTTTGATATTTGTCATCTTTGTAGCTTATGCCCCTTTAAGAAGATGAACATTAAGACACCCTCCCATTCATGCCATTTGTCTTTTGTAGGGGAATCGTTTTTTATTCTTAAGACAAACTTTTTTTATCCATCAAATTAAACCAAGAGATGTCCTCATAGTATGAATAATACCCCTCATTTATGCATTATAGTTGCTACTGTGAAAATCATTATTGAGGCAAGGACTTTTTGAAATTTTGAGCTTTTCATTTTAAATAATCCATTCTTGTGTGTTAGATTGATTGTAGGTTGATTAACATCCAATGGCAAATATTTCATGCATGTTCAGGACTAGAACAAATTAACAATAAATACAATAGGCAGGTCTTGTAACAGAGGCCGTTAGGGATGAAGGTCAAGGAAATTTGGACTGCCATGGGAAAATGAGGGTATATTGGATAGGGACAGAAATTTAGCCTTGCAACAGTCCACCTACGTATACATCTGCACTGGTTACCGGAATATTGGATACACCAAACCAGGCACTTCATATCTGAGAAACAGGCTATATATGCCCTCAATTTTAGAATTCATTCATACATTTTTGCATTATTCAAAATTATCAGTAAATTTTGTGTTCTACAAGGATCACCAGTCCTTCCCCTTTCACCTGATACCTTAATTACTAAAATATATGCTACAAAGTTTAAGATTTACACCTGTGCGTAGGAACTATTTTGTTTTAAATATGTACTACTTTCCAGTATGTTATTTTTTGTCCGGGCCCGATTAGGTGGTGCAACATCTTACAAAATCTATTCCAACTTATTTTTGCAAAGAATTCAGCTCAAGCCAGTGCTTGGGGCCGTCTTAAACTTGCATTGAGGTGAGAGTTTATTTTTGCTCTGTGTTGAAGGTCTCACTGTGAAGATGAAGAACAGCAATAAAAGCGCTATTCCTTTGCTTTTTGTGTGTTTTTTTTTTTGCTGTGCATGTACTGATTTTGTGTCATGGATGGATACCCCATATCCTTTGTTTTTCTATTATATATTCAGAAATTAAAGGTCAAGGTCAGTATGATGCTTATGCATACAAAGTTTAATCGATCAACGTGCTACAGTACAAAAGTTATGCACCAAACACAAATCAGACAATGTTTTACTATCATAAGGGTCAAATGTCAAATTCAAGGTGTGACTGGACTTTGATATACGACCCCTCTCCCCCTTTTCCCCATAATCCCAATATGTATCTGCATACCAAGTTTGGTCAACCTAAGTTCTATAGTACAAAAGTTATAAACAGGACACAAATCAGACAAGGTTTATCTAAAGTTATGCACAGGACACAAAGCTGGACACTGACAGACAGGGCATTTTCTATATACCCCCCAAAAATCTTTGTAAATCCAAGTAAAATCATCTAAATGACAAAAACAACACTGAGCAGGTCATTGGCTATATTTCTGATAGATAATTATTTGAAGACCATTTTATCAAAAATTCATTCAAATTGGATTATATATCCATTTGAACAGACCATTCTCATAGAATTTCCTATTTTAAGAAAAAGCTACTTATACTCTATAGTTAGGTACATTATAAACATGAATTCCATAGTGGCCAAATATTGGAAAAGTTGCCACAAGCCATTAATATATTTTTTAAAGGTCAGTGTAAAAGAAGCGAGCCAGTTACAAGTGTTTTTTCTGAAATAATCTAAATGCCTCACAGATAACAAACTTGAATAAACAGCTGAGCTATGAGTGCATGATATGCCCATCGTCTTGTGTGTAAATTTTTATGCAATAATCATAAATAGTTTCTGACATACGGCCTGACATGCGAAAACCCCCTTTTTTTTACAAAAAACTCAATATCTCTAAAATAAAATTTTGAATCAAAACCAAAAAGTATACAGATCTTTAGATTAATATAGCTAAGAAGTGTGTAAAAGTTTAAGCAATAATCATATATCGTTTTTGAGATACGGCGTGACATGTGAAAACCCCCTTTTTTTTACAAAATACTCAATAACTCAAAAATAAAATTTTGAATCATCACCAAAAAGTATACAGATCTTAAGATTAATATAACTAAGAAGTGTGTTAAGTTTTAAGCAATAATCATAAACTGTTATTGAGATACGGCGCAACATGTGAAAAACCCCTCCCCCTTTTTTAACAAAATACTCAATATCTCTAAAATAAAATTTTGAATCATCACCAAAAAGTATACAGATCTTAAGATAAATATAACTAAGAAGTGTGTAAAGTTTAAAGCAATAATCATAAATTGTTTTTGAGATACGACGTGACATGTGATAAAAAAACACACACCTGTTTTAGTTACTAAGTCCCGTAACTCAAAAAGTTTTAATCTTATTTTCACCAAAAAGTATACAGATCGTTTGACCATCATAAGAAACAACTATGTTAAGTTTCATGAAATTTGGATAAGTCGTTCTCAAGTTAAGGTTCTGATAAATGGAAGTAAAAAAATTTGGTGAATTGAAATATTGTGTTCCATTAAGAAGAGAAGAGGGTAAATGGAGAAGTCATATCTTATTTTTGGATAATAGGTTAAAATGGGAGGTTTTTTTATGGTCTCATTTCACAGAAGTTCTTTAACCATTTTAACCTTTGAGTTTAAAGTCTACCAGATCGAGAACTCTTTCACAGAGGTCGGTCAACTGAGAATGACTCATCAATTCATAAAATATTGAAGTTCATACCTATGCAATTTCAAATCAATATCATTAGGGCAAATATGTAAAGCATCTTTACTATAAGTTGGTTTTGAACTTCGTCCAAACAAGCAAAAATTTGCATACATTAGAATAAAATTCTAAAGAAAATTTATTTTTATGGTTTAGCCAAAGTCTGCTTACAAGCCAAAATAAAGTTTGTACTTCATTGATCATTTCAATTTGACATTGACCTTAACCCACTAATCAACAAAAAATGGTATCCAACGAATATCAATGAATCAAGTCATATTGACAAACTCCATTAAAAGGGGTGAGCTCTATGTAAAGAGGAATATGGACCAATTTCTTTCACTGTATCATGAGAGCAACTTTGCACAAATTTTGCTCAAACTATAATAAAACAAGCATTCTGAGAGTATTGCATGGCAATACATAGTCCCCTACCGGTTAAAAATTGTAATGGAACAATGCTAACTTGATATATAACTTGTCATGGTGTAAACTATACAACAAATATCAAGTCAATATCTTCAAGCATGACAAAATAAACTGCTTCGCTGAGCGCAGCTGGATACGCCCGCAGAGGTCCAACTCTGAACAGTTGGGGCAAAAATGGACACAATATTCAAGCTTGAAACAGGTCTGAATTTGGATTGTAATTAAATATTTGATATATTATAGGTTTCTGAATAAATGTAGTCAAAGAACTTGAAATTGGTTATATAAAAGATTTCTTGCTGTTGTGCAATACACTGTGCTGTTGAGTAATACACAATGTACTTAGTAAATCTGTTGTCAGACTATAAACAAATAAAATCTTATAACTCGGAAACATAAAATCTAAAATTTATAAAAATCAAAAGGGAGCTTACAAAAATAGATATAAACAATTTACCAAAGTTCATAAAAAATGCTGAAAGCATTTTTGAGTTATTGTCCAAAAACTGGAAAATCCCCTTTTTTGTAATGAATAAAACCCCATAAATCGGAAACGTATAGTCTGAAATTT